AAACAGTTGTGCTGCACAATATTTTTGTGGAAACTGTGATACATTTTATTTTTCATGATTCACAGATGAATAGAAAGTTCAAAAGAACAGCATTTATTTGAAATAGAAATCTTTTGTAACATTATAATGTCTTTACTGTCACTTTTCATCAATTTAATGCAGCCTTGCTGAATGAGACCATTCATTTCTTTCCAAATAAAAACTCTTACTGACCCCAAACAATAATTAAATGTTTGAATATTTAATAAAAATAAAAATCAAATAAATGATTGACAAAATACTAACTAAATTTAAAGGACATTTTCAACAAAGGATAAAACAAATTTTTCTAAATATAAGCCCTTTCAAAGGGTACTAATATTAACACGTTATGTACTAATATACACCTTTAAGGTACTAATATGTACCATTTAGGTGTAAATATGGTACAAAGTTGTACCTTTTAGCTTTTGCACTTTAGGGTACTGGCCAGGAACAGCTTTGTACTTTGAGATTGTACAGGTTTGTAATGACATGAGGAGAGTAAATGATGACAGAATGATCGTTTTTGGGTGAACTCTTGCTTTAACTGTGCGTTCGGTTCTCAATCTACACCGGGACTCACTCTTTTTCTCTCCGGTCATTACACGATGCACGCATGGCACACAAGGCTGCTCTTTCCACTCTAGCCAATCTGCTGGCCCATAAAAGGGCTGCTTTTTGTGGAGAAGCCCAGATGACAAGAGACATACACATCCCCATATCTCAACATCCCACAGTTTCCGCTCCTGTCACTATCCATTACATGGAATTGAGTCGTGGATGCGGCAAGCAAGAAGATCTGTACAAATTGCCCAGAAATACGGTTGCTACACCCATGCGGTGCTAAGCATTCATCAGCATCCATGCCAGCATCTCCTCGCTCCACACGCGCCAATGAGCGCCGCCTGCCAAAGCTGAGCTCAGATTTACTGTCGCGGTGCTTCCTGACAGATATTCCTGGGGTTTAAAGTCTCCGCTCGACTGTTAAGAGTGCAGCTGGCACGCTCGAGCTCCTGTGCAAACCTGTAGACAGATCCATCTCCATCGCAGATGATACATAACGTCCCTCCGAGGCCCGTGTTGCATGTGGAAGCCAGGCGAGAGACCTGCGTTTGGGGGCCGTCCATGAAAGATCAATGGGAAATAAGCAGAATAAATGAGCCAGATGGCTCATGTTTAGGCAGAACTGATGGGTGAGGTTTTCTTGGAGCAACTTTATGGCAAAAATATAAATCTGGCAACCAAACACATTAACTTTGTGTCTTACTTGGACAATCTGTGTTTCCTGTGGCCTCAAACAGATACCTGTTTTTCCTGGTGGAAATCCTTTGGTAATATAACCTCCAAAGCGCTTTATTAAAAGCAATATCCTTGAATGATATTTTAAAATTTAAGTCAACAGGCAACAGAGACCGCAACTCATTTTACTGCCATAATGTCACGTCTTGTGAAACAGTTTATGCAATAAAAATAAAAACCGTGGGCAAATTGACTGGATCGACGGGACCAGAATTTGGTCGGAGCTAATGGAAAGTTTGCATTGCCAATAGCCTTAAGATTAACCAAAAGCCCAAGAAGTGTAAATCTAGTGAACAAAATTACTGACAAAACTTTTAGTTGATGAAAAGTTCTTTGATTTTTATCAAAGATAACGAAGATTAGATGGAAAATGTGCATCATGACGATGCTTCATAATCAAATTAAAAAAAAAAAAAAAAAAAAAGAA